ATACTACCGCGCCGAACGAACACCTCCTGGGGTTTTGTTTTCACAAAACACCGAGAAATGCATCCGAAATTTCGTTGACAACGAGACACGGCCCCCGTCGTCCCCCCAATGTGTTTTTTGATCAGATTTTTACAATTACATTACAACTACTATTTGCTCGTAGGAAGTGAACTTAAAGTGGTAATGATCAGTAAGAAGTATACTACTTGACGGTATTTGGTAAAACCTATATCATCAGACATATCTGCCGACGTTGAGCACAAATCAGCCTCAAAAACCTGAGAAGCTATTCTCTGAGTCGGCTGATGGGGTTTTTTGCTCTGAACTGCAAGTAGGAGAGGCTTCGATCCTTCGCCTTCATTTTATGTCAAAATTTTGAAGATGGCTGAAAATTCAGACGGAGTTGCAGTTTGACCCCCTAGACAAATCTACGGTATTCATTTGGCGTAAAAACGCTTGTAAGGTGAGTGAGGTGAGTATGGCCCGGCTCATGAAAGTCTTGGTAAGACAGCTGGAAGACAATCTCTAATAATTCGAACCTGAGGAACAGCTTGCCAAATTCCGAGGAGAGACGGTCAAGACAACCATAATTAGTCGCATTCGCCGCGCGCGGCCTATTGTACGACGGTGCGCGGCAAATCCTCGACGTCCATCAGTTGTCGATTGGAGCAGCGAAAATCATATGGAATCAGGCGGATAGGACTCCATAACGAGCCATATGAAATTTCCCGTCCCTTTCACACTCAACTCCAAACAACCAGTCAGGAAAACTCGTCTGTCAGGCGCGACAAAGTCTGCCACGCCCATCGCGCGGCATATTACGATTGTCTTGTCACATACTCGAGAGCGATGTTGTACTCAGCGTTAGAGGCATCTGATGATAAAGGTTCCTTCAAATACGGCCATTGTGACCTGTAGCCCCTCCCTAGTCACATATTGCCAGTTATGTAGTTGTCAAACTAGTTTGCTATTTTTTACAGTAGACGTTCCGATTTCAATCTCGATGCTGGCGAACGAAAAAGACGACGAAGCGCGGCCAGAAACAGTCGAGAAGCAAGCGTTGTAAGACGACGTTTACGAAAAACCAACAGCGAACCGAATGTGGAAGGCGTTGGAGTGGTACGTGATAGTTCACTTTGAACTTATTCTGAATATTTTCTATTTACAATATTTACAATATTTTCGACTGCAAGTGATTGTTCAAAAATCTGCAATTTTCGAATTATATCTGAATGAATTATATGAATTATGATCCAGTTTAAATTTTTGAATCCGTCGAGAAAACCGAAGATTTAAAAACTTTGGTAGATAGGGTGTAACAGGAGAGGGTAGTGGGAGAGTTCAGCGTTTTGCGGAGTTGCATCTCTGCGATTAGACTGCCTAATATATATCTGCGATGCAGACCGAGACAATTATCAAACAGGATCTTTGATAGATAGACAGTTCAAAAGCAACTCCTTCACTGAATAAGAAGAGAACTAGGGTGCGCAGCAGGGTAACCTTCGGGCGCCACGCTTGCCAGCGCGATAATGGGCGCCGAGCTGAGCGACAAGCTCCTCTGCTGTCGTTGGTTATACCGGGAGCCGTAGAGTCAGCGCATGGACCACGACAGCGTGGATTTCAGTTGACCCACATGCTATCACCGAGGTTTAGGAGTGCGAAACACATGGCGAATTCTACGCCGAGAACAGTATAGCTCCTGCGGATAATGGCGCAAGGAGTGATCGTTTGGTGCGGCGCCAGCCTGTTTTTCCATTTTTTTTTCTTTTGGCAAACGACAAGACTGTATCATATCGATTGTGTCAGTCGTTTCCTACCAGTTGTTGTCTCTTACCCGCATCAACAACTGGGGAGAATGGACTGTGCCGCCCCTTCAGCCAACAGGGCTGTTCATCTAGCGAGAGGGACGTCCCAACCTGCCACCAGGCTCCCACTGACGATTGTCCTGCACGTCCCCCGAAGAACGTCCTCGATTTCTGCACGTCCTGTACGTCCCCCGATTTCTGCCATATCATATGGAGATATGAAAAAGGTTAAAAAGCTGAAGGGATTACGTGTGAACTTGCCTGCCGCGAGATCTAGGAATATCAGGAACGTGCCTTACCTTTTGTGTAAATCATTTTGGCTGAGAGCGACCCACTAGACGTCGCTTTCAATCACTTTTGAATTATTTGAATCACTTCGGACTAAGCTCCACCAGGACATCGGGGCTTATAGTCACACTCCATGTCCCGAAAATGGGGAGGGCGTGGCTCCCAGTTCATTTCGGCGTGGCAGCGGCTGTGCTGTTGATGCGTTAGTGCCACTTTGAGACAATGGTAATCTGTCTTTGTCCAGCATAAGACAGTATAACAGTTTTATCAGTTGGAATGTTCCTATGAAGAACGCATCTTCCGTCGCGTTCAAGTGAAAAGTGAAGCCACGCCTTCCCCAACCGCGCGATGTGGAGTTTAGTTCTTGTCAGGGTGTCGGAACATTCTGTGGAAAACTGAGACGTTACTGGGTCTCCAAGAATGCTCCGCTACGTGGGGAGGAAGAAAGTGTATGGACAAGGCGCACTGCTTACTATATCCGCGGTCTCGGGGTCAAATTCTCTATCCTCTGCAAACGAAGCTCTTGCTCATTGTGCGCGTGGGAAGCTGGTGCTCTGTCCTGGTTCGAAAGAAGAAAGCACTGACTTGACTGTGATATCCGCAGACCTAGGTGCTTGTTGGTCGCCCTCAGAAAGCCTTCCCATTTCAGGAAAAAAGCAAAATGCATGGCGCATTCGAAAAAAGAAGAAACCCCGAAAACTCACAAAGGTTTAATGTGTTCGTTTCGCAGGATGATCTGAATGATTTTCTTGATTTCAAATGAGAGCTGAGTTCGATCTTATGATGATAAATGGCGCGATCGTGTTGGGGATAAAGAAATCAAACGAGAGGGGCCCCGTTAATCACTGTGATCTATTCGGTGATAGATGAGCGTAGCGATAGAAAACGAAGGCATTGAAAAAGAAGGACATTCAAACCTGGATGCAGCACTGATGAGGGCTAGTTTAACAAGAGGAATAGCACCCTTTTTGGCATGTTGGAGGGGCCCTCATATTAGTGAGGACTCTGATTTGAATGCGGATCGTTCAGCCTTGGGCACGATTGAAACTCAGCCCTCCCCCCCCCCCCTCCCCCGCCGCCCCCCCTTCGCCTGCGACTTTTTGCTGCCTTGCCCATACATTTTCTGGAGCTTAAAGACCTAAGTGTCCAGGTTCGACTCTCGATGAATCTTGGCATACTTTGAATTCTTATAGGGTATTGCTTTAGCCGTAACCAAGATGGTATAAAAGTTTTATTGGCTAACGTTTCGGCGCCTTATCGCCTTCGTCAGAGCCTGGAAAAAGTCAAAAATCAAAGTGAAACTACCCTCGGAAATCATTTCAAACCTCAGATAAGCTAGTCCCAGACCAGTAGGATCCAGAAAGTCATAGAACACAACCACAAACGACTCACCTTTAATGCACGACCGGTTCTTGTTTGAGACCACCGCTAAATAGACTCCCCGTCGGTGGCTTCAGCTGACCTGACCGCTCTACTTGATGCCGATGGCAACTGAAGCCCACACAGGTCAGCAAACGGGGCGAGCTCGTTTGTGGATGACATTCGTCCTTTCTGTTCATTCTGGGATTTTTAGCGCTAATCCAAAACGCTTCCAAAGTTTTGCGCGCCGAAGTCTGTGGTTCTCGCATCAAAATCCTAACCGTCACCTCAAACTCCGCGCCTCCATGGCGCTGAACCCGATGACTACCCAGGGGGACTTTTTTTTTTTTTTTTTTTTTTTTTTTTTTTTTTTTTTTTTTTTTTTTTTTTTTTTTTTTTTTTTTTTTTTTTTTTTTTTTTTTAATCGGCTGCAGGCTATTTAAACTATTTAGCGGTGGTCTAAAACAAGAACCGGTCGTGCATTAAAGGTGAGTCGTTTGTGGTTGTGTTCTATGACTTTCTGGATCCTACTGGTCTGGGACTAGCTTATCTGAGGTTTGAAATGATTTCCGAGGGTAGTTTCACTTTGATTTTTGACTTTTTCCAGGCTCTGACGAAGGCGATAAGGCGCCGAAACGTTAGCCAATAAAACTTTTATACCATCTTGGTTACGGCTAAAGCAATACCCTATAAGACCTTGATTGTCACTTTTCATTCAAAATCGACCAGGAAGTATAGCTAGGGCCTAGCCTAAGTTTCAAGGGGCACGTACGTTCGAAAGCTCCAGCGAGGTGGAGGCGTTGTACTTAGTCTGCAGGAAGGATAGGGTCGTGCTACATCTGTAAGAATTCTGTTGTTTATTTTTTTTATTTTTCCCTTTTCAACTGCTGCTACTTTATTTATTGCCCCCCCCGACGAGTTTTTCGAGGAAAAAACTGGTAGGGAATTGAAAAGTATGCTAAGGGATGATCGGGGTGGAGAAAATGCGGCCGTATTCGCGAATCTAAGATTGCTCTTTCAGAAATGTGTGCCCTAACCCGGACAGATAGCATTTTTCACGCGACATATCGCGGGCAAGGCTTGCGAAAACTCTAAGAAACTTCCTAGTGATATTACGAAATGGTAGCTACATATTCCAGTATTCCTTTTATTTTTGCCCACGTTGGAATGCCTTCAGTAGAGAAAGATGTGAGGAAAAGATTGTGAAGCAGGGGACGGGACTTGCCCCTTTGCCGAGTAAGAATATCGGTATGGGATGATCAGTTCTACTGTGCGCGCATATGGTTTAGAAGGGGCATTTGTTAAGTTTTTTGCAGAAGTCTGCTATAACTAGTGGGGTCAGAAAGTTGTAGGGAATTCATTTCTACGCAAATGCTTCGTTATTTTTTTTTCTTCTGCCGGACTGCATTTAGTGCAGGAAGGTATGAGAAACAGGGCACGCTGCTTGCTAGGGGATCCTCAGATGGGGTCGTAACTGGTCTTTTTGAAGGGAGGGGGGTCGTATTTTACCTGAAAAAATTTTCAATAGTTCATTTTTCTGTTCCGACAATGATAGGCCCACTGGGTGGAGGTCGCCTTCGAGAAGCCGAAATGGTGCTGAATATTGGAGCTAGAGCCTGCACCCTTCCCTCCCCCAAGGTGGCTGTACCCTCATTCAAGAAAGTGCTAAAATACATATAATTGCTAGATTGTTTTTACAGTAGTAATTTAGAGCAAAGCAAGTGTCCGAGTGCCCCTCTGAGATGGGAGAGGGAGTTTTGTTCGATGTAAAGGGAAATTCTTTCAGGCCGGTTTTGATATACATGTTCTTTGATGAACCTTTCAAAAACCCTTTGGAACTAGTTATTATGTCCAGTAAATTACCACTTTCCACCTCACTAATTTATTTTGATATTATCTCTGAAAAATTTTTGGCGTCAAAGGGCAGTAAATCAATTGATTCTCCGCCTGAAACTGGACTTTCGGAAACGAAGCAGTTCATTTCTTCCGTGCTTCCTATTTCTATCTTTGGAAACCCACCGTAGGGCGCAGTTCGGCGACGGGGGAAATCATTTTGCACTTCCACTGCTTCACTACTTCTACTTTACAAGTCTCACTCTGGTGAAACTTGTGAACTCTTGTGAAGCTGGAGCAAGCTCGTCTAGCCACCATGGTAAAACGTGTCAACTCAAAAAAAGGCTATCTAGATGGGTCGGCACATCGATGGGAAGCAGAATGCCCCCCCCCGCCCCAGTCGCCGAACTGCGCCCCACGGTAGTGCTCTGCATAGTGTTTCGAACAAAATTGCAAAGTTTCTTGTGCTCTCTTCTGATTCCGCCCTTCTTGCATCGGCCTGTGTCTTCTTCTAAAGGTTTCAAACCGGGCGTATGATTGGGTGTTCATGGTGCATCCTGAATGTCCTGGATGATTAGCCAGCAAAGGGTGAGTTGAGGCTTACATGGTGTAGTGGCGAGTAGCAAATCCACAACGAGTGCACTCCAGAGTCAAATCTCGCATGGGCTCCCGCCTAGACCAACCAACCTCAGGAAAGTAAGTTTCCACCGAATAGTCTGGGAGGAAATGTTCACTGAATTATACAGCGGTTGGAACCCGCAAGTCATTGTATAGGTCACATAGCATTCACTAAGCCTTTACGATTCTGAGTGAAAGTAGAAGGGGGGGGGGTCGCTTGTCGGCAAGAGATTTTTCAGCTGCAGAAACTCTACTGTTTTATTTTTCTGCATTCATTCCTGCTTGCACTCGAATGTGGTTTTTTCCATACAGTACTTGAAGGCATTTGGCCCGATGATTTGATACTTGGTCTGAAATGCTAGCAGGGTGCTATATAGTGGAAAAAATGGCGAAAAAACGAAGTGAAACGGTCAAAAACCTGCGAAGAAAAGCCTTCGTTCTTAATGACTCAAAAAGCAATTTCGGACGAGTTTCCCGTAGGCATCTTGCCACCGCTACGGTAGATACGGCTGCACGTACTCATATATCCATGCAGCACCGCAGCCGCTTCATATCAATCCCTTCGCTTCATATTTTACTTCGCAAATGAAGCATGGTCGTCCATTTGTGGGCGGGCGGGCGCGGTGGGCGTTCGGGTCGGTATGTTGCAGCTTGATAGGGCCTTATAAGGGTACCTTCCTCGGGAGAAGGCGCTACGCAGCGCCTGCTCGGGGCGTGGAATTCCGTCTTGCCAGGCGTGTTAATCCTGCTCGTCTTATGCAGCGTTCAGACTTCGCAATGGCAGCGCTTCGGTCGCGCGTTCGGCGCGATCGATGCGCATGCTTTCTGCTGCATCGATCGCGTCAAACGCGCGATCCATTCTGACGTCGCGAAGTCTGAACGGTGCCTTAGGGATTTATTGTGCCAATTGCCTTCAAGAGACCAGCCGATGTACAAGTCATCTGGAATCATTACCCAATCCCAGGGAGATGGAAGGTTTGGCTGGTTCAGGTAGGAACTGTTCCGTTATTTCTTGAATCTCCTTCCAGGTTAATGTCCCCATAGGGCGGAAGGGTTGTGCGGGGGCCGTTTCAGGAGTAAGCTGCGCCTCTTGCACCTCCACATCCACAAATTTGTATGAATGAATAGTTAGGGGTATTGGTGGCCCATGTAAGGTAAGTGGAAAATATAAGACTTCTAAAGCGGATTCCGTCCTATTTAGCATTAAATGATTACAGGGCAAACCTCCATTCATGCTGCCAGCACCCTCCTGAACACAGCTGGAGTCACTTGACCGGCCTGCGATGAAGTCAGGGCTCGACTGTACTTAGCAGGATTTGATCTATAGATGTGTTGCGAGGAAAGTTTAGTCATTACGCCCCAGTACTCACTCATTTCAACTATTAGATGAGACGGGCGAGTGGTTCTCCGATTTGGAACTTCTTGAAGCTTCTACTGTAATCTTTTACATTTTTACTGATAGGATATTTTAAAAATTTTACTTTTATATTTTTGAAAACGTGGAACCTAAACCAGGAATGCTTCCGTTTGCAATTGTGGCTGCCAAGGTGAAACCTTTTCGTTCCCCTATTAAATATTATCCTCATCTCATCAATATTTATCATTTTTATGGGTTGATTTATTTACGTTTTGACATATGAGTTCGCGTTTCAACCAAATTTCAGATCGATATCTTCGCACTCAGTAAACTGTTGAATTCCATTCCAAAATTCTCAACTGCTCGACGACAGGTAATTCGGATTGATTTTACTGAACCTTTGTTGCACTTTCCAAGGATGCTGAAGTCAGGGCTTCCCATCTAGAAAACATGACGGGGGTCTTATTTGATCGCAGGAGAGAGAGGTTGTTTTTGCTATGAGAAGTTTTTTGTGGTAGTTAATTTTACCCCTTTCGCGCGCGCCTTCCCGTTTTTACGACGGCGCTGCAAAACTATTGAACTACTATTTTGAACAGCTTTGGATGGTAGATCGAAGGTGTCTACCCCTTCCCTTCTTCCCCCCCCCCCCACTCTCTCCGCCACTCGCACACTCGCCTGACAGATTCATAAGCATGTGGTAGAATGGGAACTGCCGTCTGAAAGTCTAGAAGCAATGTGCTGTCCTAACGCTGCTGCAGCAGTTTCGTGGTTGAGTTTTAGGAAGTCATTTTGCTCTGATATTCACTTACAAGTGCATGACCTCAGGGTAAGATTGTGAGGGAATGTGAGGTAGCACTGACCCGTAAATTTGACCCATCCGTCTACATGGGCCGCATTCTGCCGGGACCCTCGTAGTTTTAAGTATGTCAGCCTTCTTGGTCATTCCGAAGATGCCATCCCATAACGACTTTCCACGGTCGTTGGTGGTGAGGTATTGCCCAAGGTTCCTTAGATCACTAGTCCAATTCTCGCCTTCATTTTATTGAGCCAACCTAGAAGGAATGAGCTCCAGTGTTGGTGAAAGAGCTTCGTTGTACAGGAGGGGCCTGCCGCAGTCCGTGAAAAGTGGTCTACCCTTTCCGGAGCATTCAGCCTCTCTCCCAATGTCGGTGACAACACATGAGGCGTAGCATGTCCTATAGAGTATTGGACTGTGGACCTGTACTGGGGTAGGGTCTTCACTTGGATATCGTAGACGATCACTAAGTTAATCGGTAAGAAACTTGAGGACTCCTGCCCACACCGCAGGATTTGAAATTTTTCAATTTTCCCTATATTGCAATGATTTTCTTGAGATTTTTCTCGTCGTAAGGGATTCGGGAAATTTTTCGCGGAATACTCCTCCCTCTTAGAATTTCTTCATTTGATACAGCTCTCC